ATTTTCTGGGAAATAAGGTACGTGATAAAGAAAGAGCAGAAGTGTGAAAGTGAAAGAAACCACTTTGCTCTCAATGAAGTAATCAATATTTCTTTAAAATGATACCTCTTCAAAATGACACCGTTGAGAAAAGATCATATTGGCTATATAGGTTTTATATATTTTTATATAAAGTTGTTTTTAACATTTTGCTGCATTTGTTGGTATGTGCGTATATTACTAGACAGAGTACAATTTAACTTGTGTTTAACAAAATAGGAGAAATACACAGCTATTTTATAATGATGAAGTAAAGCTCTCAGATCTCAATGTTAACACACTGTTACTACACGTGGAAAAGTATGAAAATCATGAGATATTGAGGAAAATTATTCTAACCCTGTCCTGGTTTTTTAAAGTGATTTTGTAACTTAAGAAGCTATTTACTATTTAAAACACAACTTTTATTTTACATCAAATTATAGTAGTAAATAAAAACTATTTGATGAAAATTGGTGCAGTTAATAAAATAGTACAATATGAAGTGCTTTGCAGAGTTGTTCCTGTGAGGTGGCATCAAGTTGATTCCTCCTTAAGTTGTTGGTGGTGGTGTTACATGCAATCAAGTTGCCAGCAATTCATAACGATCCTATGTACAATAAAGAACCCTGATCTCGGTCTTGTCTTGAGATAATCTCATCATCTCCAAAACAACTACTCCTTTTACCCTAATTACTGAATCAATCCATCTCATCTAGGGTCTTCCTCTCCTGTGCTGTTGTTCCACCCTTTCCAAGCATAATGTCCCTCTCCAAGGACTTTTCTCTGCTGGTAACTTGCCCAAAGTATGTGAGATGGAGCAGTTTGGTTTCTCTCTCTCCAGGACAGACCTGTTTGTTCTATTGACAGTCCATGGTATGATCTATACTCTTCTCCAGCACAACTCAAAGGCATTGATTGTTCTTCTATCATCCGTAATTATTGTCCAGTTCTCTGATGCATAGCAAGTATTTGAAAAGACCATGATTTAGTTCAGGTGCCCCTTAGTCTCTAGACTGAAATCACCTCTGCCTCATAGTGACCTCATATTCAACAAACCAAAACCTTGCCCAGGACTATCAGTCATCCTTGTAATCTCCTATGGGCTTAGGCCCACTGTCGAAGTCCATGTGTCAATTCATTTCTTTAAGGATCTTCCCCCTTTTCTCTGATCCTCCACCTTTCCAAATAAGATGTCCTTCTCCAGATACTCGTCCCTTCTAATAAAATGGCCAAAGTATGAAACTCTCACAATGCTTGCCTCTTGGAAAAGCACGCTTGCTGTCCTTCTTCCAAGATAAATCTTTTTGTTCTTTGGCAACCCACAGCATGGAACGGAGTCTGAATGAATGAATAGGTGGCCCTCTGGTGCATTTTCAGAAGTAGTATATTGCACAGGAGGAGATTGCCCAGCCTTCTCCAACAGATCAGCCTGTGGATTAGAAATGCATCTTCCTGGGATCACAGTGCCGCTTCTTACCACTAGGCCATGAGAGATCCATTGTTTTTGTTGTTGTTGTGTACCACTGACTTGGAATCAACCCATAGCTGACCGTTGGCAGGTTTTCAGAAGCAGTTAATCACACAGAAGAAGACTGTCCGTTTTTCTCCCACAGAGAAACTGGCAACTTCAATCCATATGCCTTCAAATTATACTTAGCTTCTTGCCACTAGGCCACAAGAGCTCAAAGATATAAAATTGATATCTTGAGAACTAAACTTTAGATAAGATGTAGAACACTTCCTGAGGCCTTAAACGCCTTTCAATCATGCACTCAGCCTCTGTATTCTCTTTGTTGAAATGAGTCAAATTAAGAAAGACCAAAACCAAAAGATATCCATTGCTATGAAATTTGTTCTATCTCAAAGAGATATTATAGGACATGGCGGAATATCCTCATAGAGTTTCTAAGTCTACAAGAAAGATTGGATTAAAAAAAATACAAACAAAAATCAATCCACAAAACTTCACTGCTGTAGAGTTGGAACCAACTCATAGCTGATCCTCTATTGAGTTTTTGGGAGGCTGTAATTTGAAGAGATAGAAATTGTCCTTCTTTCTCCCATGGAGCTGCTGGTGGATTTGAACTGCCGAGAGGAGAGGCCTTTGTGTTAACAGTACAACTCCCTACCAACTATGCCACCAGAACTCCCTGGTGTGATCATATCTTGTAATTATGCACTTAACCTTTAATCATTTTGTTCCAGTAATTTTTTTCAAACACACTCAGCTCTTTTTAGCCTCTGAATGTTTTCAGGCAATATTCTGTAAAATTAAAATGTTATTCTTCCTTCTTACACGGCTGGAATGATCATTTGATTTGGGTTTACATCCCAACATAAACTCTTTTCAAAATCTTTCACTATGTGGGCTACTTCAAATGAGGCTTGGTTTTCCTATCACTTTATTTTCATTCTATCGTGCTTTATTATATTTTTTTATTTCTACTAACTGCCAGTTTTTTAAGATTCTTTGTAATCTAACTAATTTTTAAGTCTAAACTTCATGGGAGTATAATTTTCTTGTCTATATTACTTATTACTGCCACCTGGAAAATTTTTAGCATATCTTAAACATACATAATGATGCTGCCTCTTGGTCCAGTGTTAAGAATCTTTTTCCCCCCTTGATATTGAGATGCAATCCATACTGAAGTTTGCATTCCTTAATCTTCTGCAACACGTGCTTCAAGTACTCTTTACTTTCATCAAACAAGGTTGTATTATCTGCATAACACAGGTTATTGATTAGTCTTCTTCCTCCAATCCTGATGCCACACTCCTCTTCAGAGTCCAGCTTCCCAAATAATTTGCTCAGCATACAGATTGAATAGTTATGGTGAGAGAATATAATCCTGACACACTCCCTTCTCAATTTTAAACAGCCTCGTCTTGCTTGAATCTATAATTAACACCCTTGATACCAGCAGTCAGAAAATAAGAGGCCACACCCATGTTTATTTCGTGGCTTTGTTCACAATAGCAAAGAGTTGGAAACAATCTAAGTGTCCATCAACAAATGAATGGATAGAGAAGCTCTGATATGTTCACACAATGGAATAATATGCTGCATTGAAAAACAAGGAACTCATGAAATATTACACAAAATGGGTGACCCTGGAGGACATTATGCTGAATGAAATATCTCAGTCACAAAAGGACAAATAGTGTTTAATGCCACTGTTGCAAAACAGGACTGACATCGGGGTTGGGTGGAGACTGAGAAAGATGAGATAAATGATGTATACTGAATTAAAACAGATGAGGGTGGGAACTGTTTAAAAGGGGCATATGATTAGGTATTATTGTCATGACATGAGTCCAGAATGAGGCCTGCATAGTGGAGTGGACTTGGGGGAAGGGATTGAGAAAAAATGAAAGAATTTTTCTTTTACTTTTCAAAGAGAAGAGCGAACCCTGCAACAGTGAATGAATGGAAATGCAAAGTCTCTGTACATTTTCATTAAAATGAATAATAACAATAATAATAATAATAATAATAATAATAAAGAGAAAATAAGAAGAGGCATTGCGCTGGGAAAATCTGCAGTTAGGAACCTCTCCAAATTATTGAGGAGTAATGATGTCAGTTTGAGGCCGTGGTCTTTCCAATTACTTGCTATGCATCTGAGAGCTGGACAACGAATAAGGATGACAGAAAAAGGATTGACACCTTTGAGCTGTGGCGTTGGAGAAGAGCACTGAATATCCTATGGATGACCAAGAGAACAAACAGATGTCTTAGGAGGGTGCAGCTAGCATGTTCTTAGGAGCAAGGAATGATTAAGTTTCACTTCATATACTTTGAGCATGTTGCTAGAAGCAGCTATTCCTTATAGAAGGACATGTTGGGAAGGGTGGAGCATTAGTGAAGGAAAGGAAAACCTTCAATCAGGTGGATTGACAGGATGATTGCTGTGTGTCAGGAAGTGTGAGGATGGCACAGGATAGAATAAGATTCACATCTTTTGTTTATAGGGTCTCTATGAGCTGTATTTGACTCAATGGCACCTAACAACAACAAGAAGAGCTGATACATAAGCCAACAAAATAAATAAAATAAGAACTCTAACCAGTTTCTGGATTTCAGATTATAGCAAGCCCATGCATGTCATAGTAGAATTGTACTTTATAGAATTTTAGTGGATTATTCTGGGGGGCAATAAGTTTTTAGGGTTTTCTGCAAGGCTCTTATGGGTTGACCTGAACTACTAATCTTGCAATTATCAGCTAAGCATTTAACTATTTATAGCATTAAAATATTCTAGCATGAATCAATAATTGGATAAATAAACTTTCACTGATCCCTAATCTATATGTGGCAGTCTGAAGAATGGACTATCTCATTTAATGATTTGTTACAATGGTGGTAGCTCAGTAATAGAATATTTGCCTTCTCTGTGAGATACCTGTATTTGATTTCTGGTCAATATACCTCATGTGGTGGCTTGTTAATTGCTGTGATGTAGAACAGGTTTCAAGAAGACTCCCAAATTAACATGAACTAGAAAGAAAAACCTTTGAAAATTATTTAATAAATTCATGAAATTTCATTGTGCAGGGAACCACAAGGACTCACGAGGTCATTTAATAACAGCTAACAACAACACATTAATTATTGCAATAGGTCTATTATTATTTCCTTTTTCATAAATAAGTGAAAAGAAACATCGTGTGATTTAATAGTTTAACTAGAGTTAATGTATCAAGCAGTTAAACTGACCTTCCTGACTCTTAAACCTAAGATTTTATTACTATGCTATAAAATCCCTGTACTTGTACATCTAGTCATCTTGATATTAATAAATGTTATATCATTCTGTTAAAGAATTAACTGAGTTGGTTATCAAAAGTATGTTTATATAGTGTAATCTGACTTTTAACTCTCCATATTTCAAAAGATACCCCAGAAAATAGTTCAGAACAATAATTTAAGCAGGAAGGTAACTTGTATTTTCACAGGTGACAAAGTTGTGACTTACCTCCAGGTGACCAGCTATTGTAGCAATATGCAGGGCAGTGAGGCCACCATACCCAACCTGCTGGATATCAGCTCCACTGTGAAGCATGGAAGTGATCAATTCTGCACTAGCCTGTAAGGAAACAGGTATTTAGTGTTGCTTTCCCACTAATAGCAGGTTCAAAGTTGTGAATCGGGATATATTGATTCCCTGATTGTCAGCCAGTTTAGGTGCTCAAAGAAAACCTAAGTGTGATTTCTGGCATAAGAGCACATCCGATAGCAGAGTGCAGCTCTCAGATGGCTCAGTGCAGGACCAAATGACAGTGTTGTTCAGTTCCAATCAATTCTCCACCACTTGACCGTGAAAGGCAGACAGAAAATTTACCTATGATGAACTCTTGCAAGCTCAATCTTACATGTAGGCCACTCTAATAAATGTGCCTTGTAGGCAACTAAAATAAACTCTAAAATAGGTCAGGAATGTTGAAAGCACAGTCTGAAGATTTTTTTTTTCTTTTAGAGTTGAAGATGAAAGGAGTCATCTAAAAATAGACAGTGTGAACCCAGTTTTGAACTAACTGCAATTCAAGAGACTATTGTATGATGGATCAGTAATTGCCTTGTCACCAATTCACAAAGCCGTGGACTCTGCACATAATCAATACAGAAGCTCTATCGGCATAGGTGGTAGGGAACTGTGCTGTTAACACAAAGGTCACACCTCTCCGGCAGTTCAAATCCACCAGCAGCTCCATGGGAGAAAGAAGGACAATTTCCTCCTGTTCAATTTACAGCCTACCCCAAAATCAGTGGAGGGTCAGCTATGAATTGGTTCTAACTCTACAGCAGCGAAGTTTTGTGGGTTGCTTTTTTGTTTGTTGGGTACTTTTTTTAAAAAAATCAAATCTTTCTTATAGACATAGAAGCTCTACAAGGATATTTCATCATGCCCTCTTTGAGATGGAATAAATTTAATAGTAATGGGTCTGCTTTGGTTTTGACATTTCTTATTTTGACTCATTTTAACAAATACATGATTTAAACCAGTATTTGAATCTTCAAACAAGCATAACATAAGCAATGATCTAATTTTTTTACTTTCTTTATGCTATTATTGGTATCTAGTATCGCTGTGATATGTTGTTATTGTTAGATTGTGTCAAGTTGAGTACAGCTCATAGTGATGCTTTGAACAACAGATCTGAAACCTGTCCTGTCCTATTCGAACCTCATAATCGCTGACATATTTGAGTGCATTGCAACCGTCATTGTGTCAATACATCTGGTTGAGGGTACTCTTCTCTTTTATTGGCCTTCCACATTTCCAAGCATTGTCTCTCTCTCCAAGGAATAGCCTCTTCTAACAACAGGCCTGAGTATGTGAGAGAAAACTTTATCATGTTTGCCTCCCAGGAACACTCTAGCTGACTTTGTCGAAGACACATCAATTTGTTCTGTGGACAGTCCATACGACATTCAGAACTCTTCTCCAATGTCTCAGAGAAATCAATTTTTCTCCCATTATGCTTATCCATTGTCCAGTTTGCAAATACATAGCAAGTGACTGAAAATACCATGACATGAATTAGGCACACCTTAGTTCTCAAAATGACATCATTGCTCCTCAGTAATGTGGAGAGGTCCCTAAGAGCACTTTCCCAATGCAATACAAGGGTGTAATTGCAGATCCACATAAGATAAAGTCTTAGACAGTTTTACTCTTTATCTTTCTCAATGCTGCCTATCAGTTCAATGGTGAGAATTTTTGTTTTCTTGATGTTGAGATGTAATATATATTGAAGGCTGCAGTCTTTGGACTTTGACAGTAAACAATTCAAGTCCTCATTATTTTCAAGAAGCGTCATTTGGTGGTGTCATTTGCATACTTTAGAAAAGTTATGAGTTTTTTTCCAGTCCTGATGCCATATTTTTCTTCTTAGAGTCCAGTATTTAAAGTTATTTGCTCAATATACAAATTTAATAAGTTTGAAGAAAGGATGCAATCTTAATGTACACATTTCCCAAATATAGTATTCCATTGTGCTCTATTCAACAATAGGTTCTTGATCTAAGTATAGATTTCACATAAGCACAATTGAGTGCTCTGGGTTTCCTATTCTTCTCAATCTTAGCCATAATTTGTATGATACATACAGTTAAATGCCTTTGCATAGTCAACAAAGTATAAGTAAATGTCCTTTTGGTATTCTCTGCTTCCAGACAGGATTCATCCAACATGAGCAATGTATCCCTGATGTCACAGCCTCTTCAAAACAGAGCCAGAACTTCTGACAGTTCTGTCAATGTACTGTTCTAGCCATTTTTGGATGACTTTCAGCAACCTTTTCTTTGCACGAGATGTTGTTGTTGTTGTTCTGTGCTGTTGAGTCGCTTGCGACTCATAGCGACCCTATGTGCAACATCCATCCCTAAACTCTGCTCTGTCCTGTGCCAATTGCACCGTCTCTGAAACACCCATCCTGATTACCCCAGTCACTGAATCAATCCACCTCATAGGGGGCCTTCCCCTTCTGCGCTGTCCCTCCACCCTCCCAAGCATGATGTCCCTCTCCAAGGACCTGTCCCTCCTTGCAACATGTCCAAAGTGTGCTAGACGGAGCCTCAGAATCCTTGCCTCCAAGGAGCAGCCCTCTTTGACCCTTTCCAGGATGAATCTGTTGGTTTTCCTAGCAGTCCATGGTACCCTCAATACTCTTCTCCAATAAAAAGTGTGTAGTATAGTATCATATAAATCAGTATAATGATTAAACTTATTTGACATTCTAAAACAGAAAAAGTAACAGTGGTAGAAATATCTTCAGTTATTAAAGGATAAGATAGAATAGAGGAAAAGGTTAAAGAAATTTAAGTTATAATTGTAATATTCTCTATTACATTTGTAATAATGGTTGGATGGCTGTGTGTATTTAAACACAATAATTAAATTACAAAATGAATGTTGTGTATATCTTTGTGTGTAAATTATATATCAAAAGTAAAATTTTCAAAAATTTAAAATAAAGGGTGGGGGGACCAAATCAGAATGGGGGCTAGTAATTTGGATTAAAATACTAACCATCTACTTTACTTTTACTTTTGATAAGTAGAGATAATCTTGCTGGAAAAAATAACCAGTCATGAGGCTGCCAAGATATGTTACTGAAGGAGCTTTTAAGGTGACCACCAATGAATAAAAATAAGAAGTATATTATTTATTTTTTGAGTGTTGAAAACAAAGAAGGATTCACTTGAAATGCTTGAAAATATTCAGCTGAAACTTTCAACTGAATATGCATTTGAAAAATACTCACTATAATACATACATATATATAAATTATATATATGAAAATATCTATAAAATTAATGTTGGTGTCTACCATAGACTCAGAACCCATTCATAGCTGACTCTTGAACAGGTTTTAAGAGGCGATTAATCTCACGGTAGGAGATTGCCCGTCTCTCTCCCTCAGGGCAGCTGGTGGTCTTGAACTGCATGTCTTTGGGATTGCAGTGCAGCTTCTTGCCACTAGGCCACTGAAGTGAGATATAGCTAGCTAGCTAGATAGAGAGATCTATATATATATACACACACAAAGCAAGAGCATGCGCATAAATATTGATATATTAAGTACTAGTAAAATTAGATAGATTGGTGTGGAACATTTTGAATCAGACGACCATAGGATCTATAGCGCTGGAGATGAAAATGTGAGGAAAAAAAAAGAAATCATTTCATAGTTAAAAAGGCCATTTCTAGATCCATCTTGAAATAAAATTTAGTAAGTGAAAGGATAATATCCATACATTTACAAGGAAGACATGTTAATACCATCATCTTTCACATTTATGCATCAACAATCAGAGCCAAAGAGGAGGAAGCAGATGTTTTCTACCAATTTTTTGCAGTCAGAAATCAATTGAACATGTAACCAAGAGTCATTAATAATAACGAGTGACTGGAAGGCCAGAGTTGGGAACCAAAAGAAGGATCAGTAGTCAGAAAATATGAAAATGGTGACAGAAATGAGGCTGGGGATAGAATGATAGAATTCTGCACAATCAAGAATTTATTCATAGCAATTATTTTTTATAAGAAACATAAACACAGGCTATTGACATGAATTTCTCCTGATGGTATGCACAGGAATCATATTGATTATATCTGTGGAAGGAATCGTTGGAGAAGTTCAATATCGCCAATGAAAACTAGGCCAGATGCTAATTATGGAACAGACCATCAATTGCTGATATGCAAGTTCAAATTAAAGCTAAAGAAGGTGAAATCATATCCAAAGGAATAAAAATTTGATCTTGAGTCTATACCCCCTGAATTTAAAAACCAACTAAGGAATAGGTTTGAGGCTTTGAATAATAGTAACGAATGAACACCAGATGAGCTGTGGGAAAATATCAAGAATATAATTTATGAAGAATGCAAAAGGTTATCCTAAAGAATGTAGAAAAAAAGACCAAAATGGGCATCACAAGAGACAAGGGATTAAAGTTCAACATCAAGAAAACAAAGATTCTCACCACTGGGCCAATTGGCAGCATGAGATTAATGGAGAAGAGATTAAGGTTGTTGATAATTACAGTTTGCTCAAATCCACAATCAACATTCTTAAAACCAGCAGTCAGGAAATCAAAAGATTAATGGCATTGGGAAAATCTAGTGTTGATTATAGGTGCATTCCAACTCAGTGTTAATCAACAACAACAGCAACATGTATGAAGAGAGGCCTGTGTATATGGGTGCAAGCACTGTTATATTAAATGCACAACTATGTAATAAATAATTGGCTCTTTGAATTGACTATATTTGTTGGGAAGAAAGTGTCTGTGATCCAATTCTGAAAGATCACAGGCAATGAAAATCCCATGAAGTAGAATTTTCTCTTGAAATACATGAGGTTGCTATGAATCGGAATTAACTTTATAGTAACTGATTTTGTATTGCTTTGATACGTGTGACCCGCTGACAATTTTTTTTTCAGATTCAAGGAGATTACATAAACAAGAAAACTAAGAATCTATGATTTCGGAAATTGATCCAAGATCAGAAAACACAAATCACAATAAAGAACAATTGGGGAAATGGACAAATTTGTGCTGGGCCATCTCCTCCTCCCT